TCACCGAGACAAATCAGAAACAGTTGGTGAAATTAAATTTGCATGACTTTTCATGAGAATTGTATTATCCCCGTGATATTTAATTCCAATAATGCTGATGAAAGACATATTTAAACATATTAATTCACCTTTTTAGAAACTATATTCTCTGAGGTCCAACATTCAAAACCAAGAAGCGATACAATAACCTCATTATTTAAGATTAAAACTCAGGGTCAAGTTGATTTGTTGACTTATCTTGTGTTAGTTCTTAATGGATGAACCACACTGTCAGTAAACTCACCTGCAGTAGTTGTGGCTGCCTAGTCCTCCCTCTCCATTGGGGTATTTGAGGGTGTTGTACGGGTGCTGGAAGGTCTCATTCCAGAAGAGACAGGGTTTACCACCATGCAGGCTGGTCTGGTTCTGGAGGCCCCTGTAGTCCTCTCCGTTGGCAGTGTAACACTCTGTAAAGAGAGAAATGAAATGGAGATGAGAAGATTCAAACTAAATTAAAATCTGATGTTTGCTATTAGGGAGCTTTAGACGTCCACTGAGATGGAAGTCAAAAGTTGGCAAGGGATTTTAAACAGGCATGTAAAAGGCGGCCACATATGTGACCTGCTTTATTGAGAATCTGGATTCTTTGAAAAGATCTTGTTGTTACTCAAGTGTTTGAATTTGTTTGGAATGACCGTAGACGATAAGTTTTGGGATCAGTGTATTCGCTGCCCAGGCATAATTAATTTTAAGCTCTGGCCAAAAGTGTTAAAACAAGATCAGTCACAGTATTGTTTCAATTAATGTCAACACACGAATACAGGGCGAGGAAGAGAGCCCTGCAGATATACAGCAAAAGCAAACACGTCTTAAATTTCCAGGAAGTGTATGACGACCATATGGCCAAGTCGGAGAGAGAGAGAAAGAGTGAGAAAGAGAGAGAGCCGAGTTCCCAAGGCAAAACAATGGCAGCAGTGGAACAGTCTTTTCTTCCCTGAACGAGGCAGTTCAAATAAACAAAGGCTGATGGGAGCGTGATGAGCCATCAGCGCTCATCGCACTGAGCCTCGGGGGGGCTCCCGTCAAGAGACCTTTAACGGCTTCAACTGGATTCTTCTTTTGATTGCATTACGCTGAGAAATATTAATTTATTATGTGCCTGTTGTGATTACTCATGAGTGCGTCGGGTGTTGACAGAGAAGGATACAACTTCAGTGTAACCAGAGGGGATAAAAAGAAAAACACTCATTATGACACTAAAATGGTGAATGCAAAACATGGGGCCCTGCTCGGCGGTATTAAGAGCAGATACATTGAGTTAGCATAGCATAGCATAGCCTGTGCATGTTATCCACCGTGTGCCTTATGACTGCATACTGTGTCGTACTCTGTACCATGTTGTGAGTACTTAATATGTTGAGTACTTAAATGTTTATACACCGAGGGTCAGAGACAAACAGCTTTTCAATCCCGTCTATGTACATATGGCCGAATTAACAATAAAGTTGACTGATATACTGAGATATACTGTGTGTGTGTGTGTGTGTGTGTATCTATGACACATTCCCTTGCAAACTTATTTGCACTTGAACATGTTGCACAAGACTCAGTGAAATTATTAAAACTCTTTCACGTCATGCCTGTCAATCAAACATCAATCATAATAATAATAAAACAAAAAACTATTCATGCTTGTTTGGCCCGTCTCCACCGGGTCCTGTTGCTATGTTCGCGGTTTGCCAATGATCGGCCCCTTTCATCAAGTCAAGCTGTCTGATTATGAGCTAATGCATTGCAATATGACAGTCATTATACCCTTTGGGCTGGTTCAGCTGTGCTCTGAGGCTCTTTCTCATTTTCTGTCAAGTTCAAGGTTTCCAAACTTCCTCCCTCTCTCCCTCCCTCCCTCACCCTCTGTTCTCGTCATCTCTCCCACCTTTCCTTCTCTACTCTTTCCTCCTTTCTTTTTGTCACCCCCTTTTCAACTCATACAAAAACAAATGTTTCTTTGGGGATTGTTCGGCCTCTCGGCCTTGTAATGCCACATCGGTGATTCAAAGTTAAGATAAGGGACTTAAAAATGGTTATTTTCTTATCAGCAAACTCGTAAACCAATGTTAAATGTTAAGATGTTAAAAAGGTAAATATATGTATAATTAAATGAATTAAAAAAGAACATTGAAAGTTTTAATACAATGCTTTGCAGTATTTACAGCAGTCAGTTTGAATGGAAGCAAATATTACAGCCTCTGGCACCCACCACAAATTTACTGCTAACACTTAAGTTTTGCGTAAATCAGAGGCCTGGGATGTTTGCAATCTGTCGGGCAAAGTTGCGTTTAATTAAAGTTGTTCCAACTATGTGGTTCAGTCAAGCTTATCAGCTGTACATCGTCTGGCTGACAGGAATTCAACAGCAGCACGGAGCAGCAGGGTGTCAGGTTCCTGCAATTATGATGCCACTCTTTTGTCTGTAAATGGCTCCCTACTCTCTTAGCAAATTAATACCGCCTCGAGTCGGCATGCAAGGGTATCAACCACCGGATCGTAAATCCACCTGAGAGCGGCTGAGACAGAACACGGCTCCACAAAGTCAGAAAAACTGCTTAATGGCGTTACAGCAGAGGTCATGATCTTCCCACACTTACACTAGGGAGCAATGAGAGGGGCAGTTGAATAAGCTTTCATCTGGCTGGCACCCAGAGGAGAAGGTGAGGCGTGTTAAGTAATGCACATTTGGTCTGGATTACTGCATGTGCAAAGGATGCAGAGGATCCATGGAGCCGTTTGTAGAAAATTTAGGATGTAAGGAGGCGCTTTAATCCCAACATCTGAACTAGCTGCAGTGGAAGAGTTCCAGAACGATGGTATTTGGATACGCGTTGTGTAAAATGATTTGTACTAATCTGGGTAGACGGGACTCGGCCATGATGGATTTTCAATGCATACATTTTTTTGGGACGCCGGCAGCCACGGCAACAGAAAGAAAAAGAAGGAAACACAGCTACTGAGAGTTTGGCAGCGGCACAAGCACAATCATGAGTCACTGCTCCCCAAAAGCAATCATGACTGTTACTGCCCCAGTCAGAGAGGATAACATCAGGCAGGGACAGGGCAACCGACTGCATCCCAAATGAGCTCACATCCTTCAAATATCTTCCCCTCAGAAAGAGCGTGTACTAAAACGACTGAACTTGGCAGCGTGCAGCGCCGCTCAACACGCTGCATCAGAAAGACAGAGCCAAATGACTTTGTAAACGTCTCCTCCTCTCCTTTAGGAAACTTTACTCTGGAGCTTCAGGACGAAGCAGAGCTTGCCTGCACATGGTCGGCCTGGAGCAAACTGTTGCTGGCAATCATCCCGACCTGCGGCGGCCAAGTTCGCTTTCCAGGATGAGATGGTAAATATGGCAGCGTTTTGCCACCGGGAGGAAGATGGGGAGGGAGGGAGGGAGGGAGGGGGGGTGGTGCTCCATGTGGTTTGGAGGCACCATTTGCCTGTGGTGGGAATGGGAAGTAGCAGATCTGCAAGGACTAAGAGATAAGTGAGGCCATCGTAAAGATGAATGGACCATTTAAGAGCCCTGCGGACGGCCACACATCTATTAAGCTTAAGAGAAAATTTTACGTTGGGACATGCGGATATGGGCATTTCACCCTTGTCCTGCGAGAAATGAAAAGCTCATCTGCTGATTGGACCGTCACCACTTCCACTCCCCACACCCCCCTCCGAACACACCCGGCCCCCACCTCACACCCGCTGTTCCTTGTCACCAAGCAACTGTTGCGCTCTCGTCACATGGGCCCCGGCTTTCGTGTGGTTTCATCATAGACCATGATGGGAAACAGAACCACCACCGCATGAAAGACTAAAAGAAGGGGGGGGAGAGGCCTCCTATAAAATACATGCAGATCTACAAATAGAAAAAGTCCGGGAAAGACGGGAAGAGGAGGACTCGCCCTTGACCGAGCCCTGCGCTCATAGAACACTGCACCACCCCAGCAACGAGAGACAGAGAGAGAGAGAGAGAGAGAGAGAGAGAGAGAGAAGTAAAAGAGCAGAGGATGGATGAGAGAGAGCTAATCGCCCTGTCATTATATTTGTTGGGATTTGCGGCTAATGATTTCCACATTGCAACTTCAAATGCACTTGATGCTCTGAGAACGGGTGAGGGGACGGGGCGGGGGTCGGCAGGATTGAAGCTTGGTCATGTGATCGCAAGAACATAAACAAACAAAAAAAACCTTAAGCTCACAAACAAATAGTTTCTGTGAAACGCGTTGCCAGGTCACACAAGAGCACTTATTTGTTGTGTTTGCTACGAGGGATGAAAAGCAGTGATAATTACAGACGACTGCTTCCTCCAGAGGGCTGACATAAAGAGCTTCCTTCCATCTTTATTATATGCTTCGAGCTTTGGGGACAGCAAAACAAGCTTAGTGCATGAGGAACATTTCCACTATTACAAAATCACACTGAATGAGTTTATGATGGAAACATGAACATGCAGCACTGTGCAAGAATACACTAATTTGCACAAGCGCCAACTAAATCTGGAAGCTGCGCGTTTTAAACATACAAGGTTTTCAGAGAGTACAAAGTATGAGATGACAGACATTGTCGATTAAGAATCCGTCACAAGATGTTTCCCCTCCACAGTGTCCTGGCAACCATTACAGTTGTAATGTCAGTGTAGTAGGAACAGAGGCCAGGGCCGGGCCAAACCAGGCCAGATGTAGCGGGTTACAGAGTTCCTTTCTGGAGGGGGAGGGGGGGCACAGCTGGCTGCAACACAAGTCTGGTTTCCCTTCACCCCCCCAACAGCATCAATTTCCACATCAAACCCACATCAGACTTCAGAGAATGGTGGAGACTGCTTTACATTTCAGGTCTCACAGATAGTTATAGATTTATTTGTCTGTTTTAATGAAACTGGATATTAACCCGACTAACACCTTGGCCCCTCGCTTCTCTGATCTCTGCTCTCTTATAAGGACTCTTATAGGAGAGGAGAGGGTCAATGAAAGTGCAAAAAAACAAAAGCAATGCCCCCGCCCATGCAATGGTGCACACAGAGGCCTCCAAACTAGTTAAATCTGCAGACAATGACTTCTCAATGGGATTTTACACTCCTCCTCTTCATTTCATGGGTCTGTCGGTCAGGTTGTAGCTCCAGATAACCAGGCCATAAACCAAGACCTCATTCATTCCCAGAATAGCTTCTCTCACCACCATTCTTCCTGAAAAATCCCTCCACAGCCGCACCTTTTGAGTTCACCACCACATAGCCACAGGCCCACAAGTCGGCCTGCCAAAGTAGCTGGGTAGCACCTATAAAACACGGCCCCATCTCATTCTGGTGCGGCCCCCTATTATTTGACTCTGTAATGGAAAGAGTCTAATCTTCTGGAGCCAGTGGTGGGCTTCACACGCTGCCCAAAAAAAAACATCTGTTTGATGTCGCCT